GATGAACACAGCGTGTGGTCTTTTTTTAATGTCCTGAGCACATTTTTGTGGTACGATTTTTATAATAAAATTCACATTGCATGAATATTTTTGAATGCGTTATGATTTTAAAAAATTGAAGTAAATATTTCTTAATACATGTTTGAAAAATATTTTGAAATATAAAAAGGAAAAAATAACAAACAAGTGGACAAAGAAGAAGAAACTAGGTCGGTCCGCTACAACGACACCACATGTGAGAGGTCCTTCTATCTCGCTACAAGCGAGACAAAGACACTCTCCCCCTATCGGTTCCTCTCCACTTCTATGTCTTCCTTGTTTTTTGTTCTTTCCCCCGTTGCTTCGCTCCCTATGCAAGGGTTTGTTCTTTTGTCTTTGCTCGGTAGATTCATCACTATAGGTGAGCATTGCTGTTTGACTAGAGATGATACCTGATACGACTCCAATATATCTATAATTGTTGATTGTTCCATGCTATTATATTATCCATCTTGAATGTTTTATATGCATGATTATACTATTGTGTATCATTTTTTAGGACTAACCTATTAACCTAGTGCCCAATGTCAGTTGTTGTTTTTTCCCCATGTTTTTGTCTTTTATAGAAAAATCAATACCAAACGAAGCAAAACTTTTTGACAATTTTTTTGGACAAGAAGACCCATAGGAAGCTTCGGGAGGAGGCCAGAAGGGCCACTGATGGCAACAAGCCTGGAGGTCGCGCCCTGGGGGGGGTGTGTGTGTGGCTCCAGAGCTTGTGCCCCCCCCCCCCCCCGTGGCTCCTCCAACCCTAATCTCAGCTCTATAAATACCAAATATTCCCCGTATATCAGAGGGCACACCAAAAATACTTTTCCGCCGCCGCAAGTTTCTGTCCTCTTGAGATTTTCTTAGTACTCTGCCGGAGGGGGATTAGATCACAGAGGGTCTCTACATCAACCTTGCTGCCCTTCCGATGATGTGTAAGTAGTTTACTACAGACCTACGGGTCCATAACTAGTAGCTAGATGCCTTCTTCTTTATCTTTGATCTTCAATACAATGTCTCCTCGATGTTCTTGGAGATATATTCGATGTAATCTTCTTTTGCGGTGCGTTTGTTGAGATCCAATGAATTGTGGATTTATGATCAGATTATCTATGAATATTATTTGAGTCTTCTCTGAACTCTTTTATGCATGATTAAAATAGCTTTGTATTTCTCTCCGATTTATTGATTTGGTTTGGCCAACTAGATTGATTTTTCTTGCAATGGGAGATGTGCTTTGTAATGGGTTCAATCTTGCAGTGTCCTCACCCAGTGATAGAATGGGTAGCGAGGCACATATTTGTATTGTTACCATTAAGGATAAAACGATGGGGTTTATTTCATATTGATTGGATATACCCCTCTATATAATGTCATCTTGCTTAAGGTATTACTCCGTTCTTGTTAACTTAATACACTAGATGCATGCTGGATAGCGGTCGATTTGTTGGGTAATAGTAGTAGATGCAGGCAAGAGTCGGTCTACTTGTCACGGACGTGATGCCTATATTCATGATCATTGCCTTAGATATCGTTATAACTTTGCGCTTTTCTATCAATTGCTCAAAGTAATTTTCTTTACCCACCGTATGCGTTCTTTCAGGAGAGAAGCCTCTAGTGAAAACTATGGCCCCCGGGTCTATCTTTTATCATATTATTTTTAGATCTATAAAACCAAAAACCCAAAAATACCTTGTTGAAATTTATTTCTCTTTACATTATTTTGCACCTTTATTTATCTATCATACCTATCTCTATCAGATCTCATCCTTGCAAGTGATCGTGAAGGAATTGACAACCCCTTTATCGCGATGGGTGTAAGTATTTATTTGTTTGTCCAGGTGCTACCACTGGAGACTTGTGTGTTCCTCCTACTAGATTGATACCTTGATTCTTAACTGAGGGAAATACTTATCTCTACTTTGTCGCATCACCCTTTTCTCTTGAAGGAAAAAACCAACGCAAATTCAAGAAGTAGCAATACCCCAAGCGTTATTGTGTAAGTTGTTTGAAACATTATTATTTGTTTTAACAATATGATAATGTGAACTAAAATATATATTATCTATTGTATTTGATTATTATATAACTACATGATATTTATTAAATATGCGCAGCGTGCATGGTGCATGTTGATGTAAGCCTTTTCCATGCATGCTGGCCTGCATGATGCATGTTAAAGCTGACATTTTTTTCCATGAATGATAGTATGGTGAGTTGACACAGTTGCATGTTGAGAAAATTAGATTAGAGTGAATGCGAATCAACTAAGTGGGTATATAGGATTTAGTCCTCGTTATTTATAGCATGTCGGTTAAATCCTTGATTGTGGCGACTAAGTGGATGGTGGGTTGGACAAAAAATTCCACACCTCTGGATCTAAATCCGATCTGATCATGGTCGAATTTGCCCGTCCGAGATCCTAAGATCTCGGATCTGGTCCAACATCTTGTTGAAAGCAAGAAGGTCGGTTTCGCCCATCTTTTGACAGCGGGCGGTGCCGTGCTGGACTCTAGTCAAGGTGCTGCAAAATGTCACCTTGGAGCTTTTATAGGATAGGCTCGACGCCTGTGCCGATGAGAGAATACTCGGACCCAAGCTCAAGGCCGGACATTGAAGACATATCTCATCAGGGCCCTGCGCCGGGATCGAGTACGAAGTGTGGGGGAGGGTGTTCTCGGGCCGATCTGACATCTGGCCCTAAGAGGTGAGCTCGATACGTGATTCCACGGTGTTTTTCGTACTGCCGAGTCAAGCGGTTTGGTCTAGAGGTGAATCCTCTACCTGGCTGAGATGGCCAGCTAAATCACCACATAACACGATGCTGTCGAATATGAGGAGTTGACCGGGGACAAAGATGTCCTCATGACCGGTGTCGTTGTCTGTCTGAAGATGAACCATCGAACTCATGTGATCACCTGGCGAGACCTGTATGGGCCACAAATGTTGATGCTGAAACCGGCAAATCTCGATAGGGGGTCCTAAGCTTGATGATCAGAGTTAGATGGTAACAAGGAAAGTAGGGACACGATGTTTTACACAGGTTTGGTCCCTCTTGATGAGGTAAAACCCCATGTCCTGCTTCTTATATATTGATTGTGATGGAGTACAAAGTACAGATTGATCTACATCGAGATCGTATGGGTATTGTCTAAGCTTTAAAACCATGCGAATGTATCTCCGAGCCTCTACAGACTAAACCCCATAGCTTATATAGGCACCGGGGGTATTTAGGGTTTACAAATGGATGGTTACAATCTTAGAGATAAGCATCCCGGTTAAAATACACTTGAAGTGTACACAAAGTCTTCAGGAGATCTTCATCTTGATTCCGCCGAGGTCCAGGGTTAATATGGCCATGCCATCAATCTTCATTAGGTCCTCGGCCCAACCCAGTACCGGTGGGCCGACGTGGCAAGTACCCCCTAATTCAGGACACCAACAAGGATCTATCCATATCTAACGCTGGAACGCCGGCTGTAGCTCCTTGAGAAAATCCGTGAAAGGCATGATGCCCGGATCGCCGCGGGGCTACCTCCGGACGCAGTGGATCTGGAGGACTTGGAGGTTGAGGAGGATGAGGTTGAGGAGGGGGAGAAGGAGGAGAAGGAGCCGGAGGAGCCGAAGGAGGATGTGCAGGACGCTGGGGACGCAGATCTGCAGGCATTATAGAAGGCGATCCTTGATTTCTCCAGTCGGAATCAGAGGCGGCGGCCAGACACCGTCGTCAGCAAGAGGTGGAGGCGGAGCACACCGAGGAAGTCAACAGATGCTCTCGTATATGGATGGGGAGGAGGAGAAGGAGGAGCCGGAGCCCTCCTACGCGCCCATCCACCCGGCCCCCGGCACCGACGTTGTGCACATCTCTGACGATGAAGCGTGGTGGCTAGGGTAGCGACTAGAGTAGTATGTTGGTTTATTTTGCATGGTTTGTATGGATTTAGGGGACGGAATATGAGAGACTCAAATGCATAGCATTAAGTTTGATGCGTGACCAATCACTGTCCGCGGGCATTTGAGGGGGTCAAAATTTTCCAAATTCGACTATAGATGCTCTGAGCACATCCACCTCCAGCTCGTGCGACACCATGTTGTGCACCCTGGCACACGAACCACTAGGACCGATGATTACCATCAGTAGTCCACCTCTTCGCCTTGGCTCTGTGCACGCAATTTACCAGGGAATCTAGATGCCCCTTCCGGCTGCCGCAGGAGCACGACACACCACCATCTTGGCAATCGTCGGGCGGTAGTGACCGCAGGAGGAGCAGGGGAGGAGCCGTAGGCGCGTCGAGGGATGTGAAGCCTCCCGGGTCGCCCAGGAGGACGACACGACAGTCGCTCGGGTTGGCACGCAATTCTCGGTTCGCACTCCAACCCAGTCTTGGTGGCATTAGCACATTTGGAATAGATCGAAAAGTTGTGTATGTCAATCGATTTAGAGGCGTATAGAAGGTCTTCTCTTTCTCTATGTTGAAAAAGTGTGTTTGCCTATAGAAGCAATGAGATAAGCAGATTTGGACTTCGCTTGGGATTTGAACACATTCCTGGGCAAGTGAGTGGTGTCCACCCATCACTGCCTGCCGTGCACAAGTCCATCTACTCGAAAACGACTCACCATCGGCATCCATGGCTACGACCTACGAGTGGTGCAAATGCACGGGACAGGTGACTCACTCCACATCGATCGGTAGCTCTCATCAGTAACGACAAGAAAGGGACCGCTCGTTGTCGATGGGGATATCATATCATGCATGCATCTACCATGCTACTCCAGTCCAGCTAACTAACGGACAGACATCACTGTGCGAAAGCTCACATAAAAAATATGTCTTCTAGTGGGGAGAAAAATGAACATATTAAAGTTGCACACAGTGCAGCAGATTATTGGCAATCACAGACCAATTGGACGGCAATCGCGGTGGTCACACACAGCCACGGTGAAGTGAACGACGTCGACGGCAATTTTCACCTCAGTGACTCGTGGCGTTCCCCATCGGGTTGCCCTCGAACCGTCCGATCAGGTAGTGCTCGAGCTCCAAGCCGGCCTCCGCCGCCGTGCCCGACTCGCCGTCCAGCGCCAGCTCGGCGAGGATCGTCCCGACGGCCGGGCCCATCTTGAACCCGTGACCGGAAAACCCGGCGCCGACCACCACGTCCTTCCCGAACTCCTCCCCGCCCAGGAAGTCGATCACGAAGTCCTCGTCGGGCGTCATGCAGCACATGCACGGCTGCCGGAGCACCGGCCCGCCGGCGGTGTCCACGACGCCCGGCATAAACTCGTCGATCCACCGCGCCACGACCTCCGCGATCCCGCCCGCGCCGGTCCCGGTGGCCCAGTCCCGGCCGTCCGGGTCGCACGGCGGCCCGCCGTTCCTGCAGACCTTGATCAGGCCCGGGTACTCCATCGACGGCGTGCCGTAGAAGCCGGGCTCGCCGTAGGTCGCGAACGTCGGGAAGCCGGCCTCCGTCGTCAGCTCCTCCTCGTGCCCGGGCTTGACCCTCCAGTAGCACACGAGGGTGTGCACCGGCTGCACGGGCAGGTCGGCGCCGGTGACGGACTTCACCAGCTTGCTCGCCCACGCACCCACCGTGATGATGCACTTGCCGCCGTGGAACTCATCGCCGGTGGATGTCTTCACCACGATCGTGTTTCCTTCTCCTGACCAAAAGATTCTTTAGTGAAACCGATTGCAATAATTGAGAGCTACTCCGTTGGCTTGTTGCCTGCTTCCATCATGTAGGGCAAGCAAAATAATGAAGTACGGAGTGCACTACGCTACACCTACATGTGACGATGCAACAGTTCATATATATGCACGGGAAAAAATTCATCCATCAAATGTAAAATAAACACGCATTTGCTCTCTAAACGTAGCAAGATCAGGACATAATCTGTAAAACGTCAGAGCAGAATGTTTTTGCACGATACCAAGCTACGAATGGTGCATGAAAAAGTTGACGCAGCCACTGGGAATGCTCCGTCTGTCACTCACTCACCTTGCCTGGCGACGTCGACCACCTCGGTTCTGTCCCTCACGACGGCGCCCATCTTGGCGGCGAGCGTTTGGAACATGGCCATGGCCTTGGTCGCCTTTATCACACCGGCCGGCCCGCTGGTCGCAGCGGCCCACCCCTCGGGCACCCTGAACGCCTCCGCCCACGCCGGCCGCGAAGCGTCCCCCGCCGGGGCGAGCTCAGTGGCGCCGCCGTTGGCGATGGCGGCGACGAAGGCCGGCGAGTCCCGGGGGCCCAGGTCGAGGTGCGGGGTGGGCGTGAGCACGGTGTACCCGGCGTCGCGCTCGGCGTCGTGCCAGAGGCGGTGCGCGAGCCGGACCATGGGAGGGTACTGCGGCCGCGTGTAGGTGGGGCGGGTGGTGCGGGACTCGCCGTGCGACGAGCCGCGCTGGTGCAGCAGGTCGAAGCGCTCGAGCAGGAGCACGCTCGCGCCCCGGGCCGCCGCCGCGTGCGCCGCACAGCTGCCGATGATGCCCGCGCCCACCACGATGACGTCGAACGAGCGCTCGGCCGGCGGCGCAGCCATGGTTGACGTTCCTGTGGCTGCACCGGCGTGCGTGCTCGGCGCGAGCTTGCTCTGGAGATTGGAGAGTGAGGCAGAGGGGGATAGGAACCAGGCGATAGAGAGCGAACTTGTGTAGGACGGGCTACTTGTAGGCCGTGGCCGTCATTTCAAAAGATTGACAATGATAATTCCAAGTTAAAAAAAATCCTGTAAAAACTTATACTGGGTGGCAGATCTGTAATTTTTTCTTAAAAAATACTATGATTTGCAAGTTAAAAAAGAAAACAAAATCCCTGCCCACCAAAAAAAATGTTGGCCCATTTTCATGTATGTATATTTCTTTTTTGTATAAGCTACGCATCAAAGTATATTGTACTAATGAAAATTTTCTCAAATGTCTTATATATGTATTTACATTTTTATATTTCTTTTGCACTGTAAAAATGGTATTTTAAAAAGGGCTACATATAACCTGTCCTACGTTGGCAGCCAGGAGATAGGCCTATTTAAAGACCGCGACTACCAGGGTGAAAATCAAGAGCCTCAAGACTTGTAAATTGTTAGACTTATGGTCTGCCAAACTGCTCGACACCCTTAATGGATGTGACTATCTCATATATATGAAAGGGTACAAAAGTGTATAATACAATATATGAGGCATATACAAAAGTCATATGTAAACACAGCCCAACAACCTCCCTTAATCTTAACTATATCCTAAGGTACAAATCATGTTAAGATTGCGCCTACAACCTATAAACTGAGGCTGCGTTAGAGGCTTCGTGAAGATGTTAGCAAGTTGATTTTTAGAGGAGGTGAACTTGATATGAAGTAGTTTATGTGCAACATGTTCTGTCACAAAGTGATAGTCAACTTCAATGTGCTTCGTTCGAGCATGAAATACTGAATTAGATGACATGTATGTACCACCAATGTTGTCACACCAAAGGACAGGCGGCTGAGTTTGAGAGACTCCCAACTCTCTCTCAACAAGGACTGTACCCATATGATATAAATTGTAGCATTAGCAACCGTCTTGTACTCAGCTTCAGTGTTACTCCGAGACACTGTGGCTTGTTTGCAAGCATTTCAGACGATCAAATTAGGACCAAAGAAGAATTGATATTCCCCCCGTAGATCGCCTGTCATCAGGACTCTCAGCCCAATCTGCATCAGAGAACGTTGAGAGGCCTGCTGCTGCCGCCGGTTATTTTTCATGCAATCTATAAAAAGACTTATATTTAAAAACAAAGAGAGTATATATGAATTTTTAGTTTGGTAACCACATGTCCCATGCGGTCACGTTGATCGCGTACCTAGTACTCCATCACTTGATGCACACTATTTTTTTTATGCAGTACAAAGGCAAACATTCATACATACGTACATACACTCATCTCTATAAACACACGCACATAGTGGCATAGTCAGGCCCCAGGCTATCTGGACCGTGTGGCCTGGGGCGTGGAGCAGAAAACCTTCGGTGAATGTAGCTACAGTCTTGTACTGTAACTACAGTAAATGTTGTAGCAATAACGATGGCCCTGGACGTGCAGATATTCTAGCTACGCCACTGCATGCAGGCACACACTATCCTTATGAGCATCTCCGAGAGACTAAACCGGCACATCATATTGAGATGGACAAAGTCGACACAGATGACTTTGCAGTCAATAGGAATGTCTTCTTTCACTGAACGCACATCGCCGAAAGACATGAACTAAATTCAGAAAAATGCGAGCACAAGTGTCAAGTCTATGACTTGAACCCCCGTGCCTTGAGGATACCACTTTCCTCCTAACCATCCAATCCAACCTTCCAACCACAGGGTGGTTTGCGCACTCTACATTTTTCATGTGCCATGAATAGATCCATACTTTGTGATGTACTCTACATTTTCCTTATTTTCTTTAAGTTGTTTTCTATATTTTATTTTTTTCTTTTCGGTAATATCAATGCAATTAATTAAATCTTATTTAGAAAATTAATTTGTTTACTGATGTTTATTTAATTTTTTGTCATCATGTTCTTTATATTTTTCTTCATTTTCCTTTTTATTTTAGGTGATACCGGTGCCCTCAATTGGTTCTACCTTAAAATAATATTGCTATTTATTTATTTTTTCTTCTCTTTTTACATATGTTATTCAGTTTTGCTGTTGGAAATGCAGCGGATATTTTTTTCAGTTCAGTCACATTTTTTCATTTTCATGTGTGTTTGTTTTTATTTTTCATTTATATTTTGAGTTGTATTTTCTTTTGGTGGATGTCGTGTACTTTGTAGGTATACATGTAAATATTATACAATGTGTGTGTAAATTGTACTAGAGTACATAAATTATACTATAATAATTTTATTCTTGCATATTATAAAAAAGTGCAATTCTGTGTAAATATTGTGCAACTTTTTGCAATTATTTGTTTTAAGTATTTTAATCTTCTATCTTCTTTAAGGGTAATACCAATGCCTCCAATTCATTTTTTCTTGCAAAACTTCACTTTTCGATCGTTTGCACTGTTATATGCTTATTATAAAAAGAAATGTTATTTGTGTACATGTTTTGTCATCTTTTTTTATTTTATTAATTCTTCTTTAAGAGTAATACCAATTTCACTAATTTATACTTCCCTAGAAACATTTCTTTTTATGTTTTCTTTTTTTAGTATATAGAAGGATGGTGGAAGATGAAGGCAGCTAGGCCTTTTGATCTCGATCTGGCAGTAAAGAGTGATTTGATTTTAGTTGTTTTCCTTTTAGAGTAATACCAATGCTCTTAATTCATTTTATTATAACATATATTTCTTTCCATTTTAGTTTATAATTTTTTAGTATATTTCTTTGTTCATTAATAAGAATAAAGTGACAACCACGAAAAATTGTTTTCTTTTTCTCGCTTGTGCTAATGTTTCGGGCTCCTTTTTATTATTGTTTGATCATGTGATTTCATTGTCGTTCAATTCTCTCCTATATTTTTACGTCTGATAGTGGTTTGATGAGGCAATTAGTGACACTACTTAATTTATGTTAACAACTTAAATGAAAATCATAACTATTATTTTGCACCAGTTTATATTTGTTCTTACACAATATGGAAGAGTGGAAATATTTTTGTATCATTTTCTTACACAATATGGATGAGGCAATTTGTTCTTACACAATATGGAAGAGTGGAAATATTTCCGGCTACTTATTTCTTTCTTAGAAAACTTTATTTTTTATGATTTGTTGAACTTTTATATTTATAAAAAGAAATTACATCTTTGTGCAAAATGTGTGCAAATATTTTTCATCTTCTTTTTAGTTTCATTCTCATTCTTCTTTAAGGGTAACACAAATGCCATTAATTCATTCTTTCGCATAAACAGTCATTTTTGTGTTTTTTTAGTATATAGAAGCCTGGGGGAAGAAGAAGGTAATGAAGGAAATATGCCCTAGAGGCAATAATAAAGTTATTATTTATTTCCTTATTTCGTGATAAATGTTTATTATTCATGCTAGAATTGTATTAACCGGAAACATAATACATGTGTGAATACATAGACAAACAGAGTGTCACTAATATGCCTCTACTTGACTAGCTCGTTGATCAAAGATGGTTAAGTTTCCTAACCATAGACATGAGTTCTCATTTGATTAACGGGATCACATCATTAGGAGAATGATGTGATTGACTTGACCCATTCCGTTAGCTTAGCAATTGATCGTTTAGTTTGTTGCTATTGCTTTCTTCATGACTTATACATGTTCTTATGACTATGAGATTATGCAACTCCCGTTTACCGGAGGAACACTTTGTGTGCCACCAAACGTCACAACGTAACTGGGTGATTATAAAGGTGCTCTACAGGTGTCTCCAAAGGTACTTGTTGGGTTGGCGTATTTCGAGATTAGGATTTGTCACTCCGATTGTCGGAGAGGTATCTCTGGACCCACTCGGTAATGCACATCACTATAAGCCTTGCAAGCATTGCAACTAATGAGTTAGTTGCGGGATGATGTATTACGGAACGAGTAAAGAGACTTGCCGGTAACGAGATTGAACTAGGTATTGAGATACCGACGATCGAATCTCGGGAAGTAACATACCGATGACAAAGGGAACAACGTATGTTGTTATGCGGTCTGACCGATAAAGATCTTCATAGAATATATAGGAGCCAATATGGGCATCCAGGTCCCGCTATTGGTTATTGACCAGAGAGGTGTCTCGGTCATGTCTACATAGTTCTCGAACCCGTAGGGTCCGCACACTTAACGTTCGTTGACGATATAGTACTATATGAGTTATGTATGTTGGTGACCGAATGTTGTTCGGAGTCCTGGATGAGATCACGAACATGACGAGGAACTCCGGAATGGTCCGGAGATAAAGTTTGATATATGGGATAATAGTGTTTGGTCACCGGAAGGGTTCCGAAATTCACCGGAAGGGGTTCCGGATGTTTCCCGAAATGTTTGGGTACGAGAACACTTTATTTGGGCCAAAGGAGAAAGCCCACAAGGTTTTTGGAAAGCGCAAAAGGAAGTTTTGCGGAGTCCAGGGGCCAGACGCCATGGTCCCTAGCGTCTGGGTCCAGACGCCTGGAACCCTGGCGTCTGGCCCTAGAGTCCGAGAAGGACTCTTGCCTTTCTGGTGAAACCGACTTTGTGGAGGCTTTTACTCCAAGTTTTGACCCCAAGGCTCAACATATAAATAGAGGGGTAGGTCTAGCACCCAAGACACATAAAGAAACACCAAGCCGTGTGTCGGCAACCCCGTCCCCTCTAGTTTATCGTCCGTCCTAGTTTTCGTAGTGCTTAGGCGAAGCCCTGCGAAGATTGTTCTTCAGCAACACCGTCACCATGCCATCGTGCTGCTGGAACTCATCTACTACTTTCCCCCTCTTGCTGGATCGAGAAGGCGAGGACGTCACCGAGCCAAACATGTGCAGAACATGGAGGTGTCATTCTTTCGGTACTTGGATCGGTCGGATCATGAAGACGTACGACTACATCAACCGCGTTGATATAACGCTTCCGCG